GGGTCAGTTAGAATATTTTAAACTTACGTGTGAAAGGGTTAAGTAGATTCTAATCTGAGTAATACAAATATTAAAATTCAAATCTCCAAACCCTGAATAAAAAGCATACTCATGATCACTCGCCGACTCGCTACAAAATGCAAGACACCTCTGCACTCAATTGTTCTCAACGAACATTCTACAGATGACATGACAATGGAGCACGGCGCTCAATAAACTCAAGTGTTTGTGAGTGCCGGGAAACCTATGCTGTTTCGTTAGATTAAAACTGGACATGCAATATAAATACAAAGAGTGACTAAGCATATTTAATCCATGATTGTTCATAAACATAATTTACCGTTACTGAAGTTTATGAAAAAAATTTTTCTTCGGTGCTATATGCTGAATAATTCTCAAAATGAACAGCTTCTTATTTCTTTCTTTATATATATATATTTATACAGGTCCTTCTCAAAAAATTAGCATATTGTGATAAAGTTAATTATTTTCCATAATGTAATGATAAAAATTAAACTTTCATATATTTGAGATTCATTGCACACCAACTGAAATATTTCAGGTCTTTTATTGTTTCAATACTGATGATTTTGGCATACAGCTCATGAAAACCCAAAATTCCTATCTCAAAAAATTAGCATATCATGAAAAGGGTCTCTAAACGAGCTATTAACCTAATCATCTGAATCAACTAATTAACTCTAAACAACTGCAAAAGATTCCTGAGGCTTTTAAAAACTCCCAGCCTGTTTCATTACTCAAAACCGCAATCATGGGTAAGACTGCCGACCTGACTGCTGACCAGAAGGCCATCATTGACACCCTCAAGCAAGAGGGTAAGACACAGAAAGAAATTTCTGAACAAATAGGCTGTTCCCAGAGTGCTGTATAAAGGCACCTCAGTGGGAAGTCTGTGGGAAGGAAAAAGTGTGGCAAAAAACGCTGCACAACGAGAAGAGGTGACCGGACCCTGAGGAAGATTGTGGAGAAGTACCGATTCCAGACCTTGGGGGACCTGCGGAAGCAGTGGACTGAGTCTGGAGTAGAAACATCCAGAGCCACCGTGCACAGGCGTGTGCAGGAAATGGGCTACAGGTGCCGCATTCCCCAGGTCAAGCCACTTTTGAACCAGAAACAGCGGCAGAAGCGCCTGACCTGGGCTACAGAGAAGCAGCACTGGACTGTTGCTCAGTTTTGCATGTCATTCGGAAATCAAGGTGCCAGAGTCTGGAGGAAGACTGGGGAGAAGGAAATGCCAAAATGCCTGAAGTCCAGTGTCAAGTACCCACAGTCAGTGATGGTCTGGGGTGCCATGTCAGCTGCTGGTGTTGGTGCACTGTGTTTTATCAAGGGCAGGGTCAATGCAGCTAGCTATCAGGAGATTTTGGAGCACTTCATGCTTCCATCTGCTGAAAAGCTTTAAGGAGATGAAGATTTCATTTTTCAGCACGACCTGGCACCTGCTCACAGTGCCAAAACCACTGGTAAATGGTTTACTGAGCTGAACCCCATAGAGAATCTGTGGGATATTGTGAAGAGAAAGTTGAGAGACGCAAGACCCAACACTCTGGAACACGCCCTCCATAACACCTCAGCAGTGCCACAGGCTGATTGCCTCCATGCCACGCCGCATTGAAGCAGTCATTTCTGCAAAAGGATTCCCGACCAAGTATTGACTATTGAGTGCATAACTGAACATAATTATTTGAAGGTTGACTTTTTTGTTGTTGTATTGAAAACACTTCTTTTATTGGTCGGATGAAATATGCAAATTTTTTGAGACAGGAATTTTGGGTTTTCATGAGCTGTATGCCAAAATCATCAGTATTAAAACAATAAAAGACCTGAAATATTTCAGTTGGTATGCAATGAATCTAAAATATATGAAAGTTTAATTTTTATCATTACATTATGGAAAATAATTAACTTTATCACAATATGCACATTTTTTAGAAGGACCTGTATATGTGTGTGTGTGTGTGTGTGTCCTTTGATAAGTTGCATAATTATTATCTCTATCAGTTTTCTTATGTATTTCTGTGGTTTTCATGTGTTTATACTTTGAGAGATTATTTTCAGATTTATATTCGATTTATGATTATTTTATTATCATTACTGTTTTCATCTAAATACTTGTTGCAAATATTTTGGGTTGTATAATACGCGTTGCTTCAAATGAATACAATATATTATTGTAGCTGGAGAAGGATATGTGTGTGCTTGGTTATACGTGCATGTTCGCGTCATTGCGTAGGCCTATAGCTATAATATATACAAATATACACTCACCGGCCACTTTATTAGGTACACCTGTCCAACTGCTCGTTAACACTTAATTTCTAAGCAGCCAATCACATGGCAGCAACTCAGTGCATTTAGGCATGTAGACATGGTCAAGACAATCTCCTGCAGTTCAAACCGAGCATCAGTATGGGGAAGAAAGGTGATTTGAGTGACTTTGAATGTGGCATGATTGTTGGTGCCAGAAGGGCTGGTCTGAGTATTTCAGAAACTGCTAATCTACTGGGATTTTCACGCACAACCATCTCTAGGGTTTACAGAGAATGGTCCGAAAAAGAAAAAACATCCTGTGGGCGGAAATGCCTTGTTGATGCCAGAGGTCAGAGGAGAATGGCCAGACTGGTTCGAGCTGATAGAAGGGCAACAGTGACTGAAATAACCACTCGTTACAACCGAGGTATGCAGCAAAGCATTTGTGAAGCCACAACACGCACAACCTTGAGGCGGATGGGCTACAACAGCAGAAGACTCCACCAGGTACCACTCATCTCCACTACAAATAGGAAAAAGAGGCTACAATTTGCAAGAGATGATGAGTCTCGATTTCTGTTGAGACATTCAGATGTTAGAGTCAGAATTTGGCGTAAACAGAATGAGAACATGGAACCATCATGCCTTGTTACCACTGTGCAGGCTGGTGGTGGTGGTGTAATGGTGTGGGGGATGTTTTCCTGGCACACTTTAGGCCCCTTAGTGCCAATTGGGCATCGTTTAAATGCCACGGCCTACCTGAGCATTGTTTCTGACCATGTCCATCCCTTTATGGCCACCATGTACCCATCCTCTGATGGCTACTTCCACCATGTCACAAAGCTCTAATCATTTCAAATTGGTTTCTTGAACATGACAATGAGTTCACTGTACTAAAATGGCCTCCACAGTCACCAGATCTCAACCCAATAGAGCATCTTTGGGATGTGGTGGAACGGGAGATTCGCATCATGGATGTGCAGCCGACAAATCTGCGGCAACTGTGTGATGCCATCATGTCAATATGGACCAAACTCCCTGAGGAATGCTTCCAGCACCTTGTTGAATCTATGCCACGAAGAATTGAGGCAGTTCTGAAGGCAAAAGGGGGTTCAACCCGTTACTAGCATGGGGTACCTAATAAAGTGGCCGGTGAGTGTATATATATACGCGCACACGCAGTATTTATTTATTAATAGGTTCTGAATCTTTTTTTCCTTCACGCTATAAAATAACTGGGAAGATTAAAGCGTATTTGCAAGCCCATCGGCTGCTGCTGCTTCACAGTCCTTTATATTTATATAGATCAGAGAGGTATGTATCAACTCGTCTTAGTAAAGGGAATAACATAGTTTAATATGGAAAAATGGTGGAGTGTTCCTTTAAAATATGTTTTGTGGCTTTCTTTGACCTCATTTTTGTTATATGCTATTCCCATTTTTAGGACTGTGATGACAATGAAGATATGTCCAACATTGAAAAAGGTATTCTGACAGTGATTCCCGAGTCGTCTGCAACCGCTGCCGTACCCTACTCCCTGCATCTTGATGCCACAACAACGGCAATCATTCTGGAAGGTACAGTGATTGTGGATGATCTTGAAGATCTTCCACAAGCAATGTGTTTGCTCTTTGGACTAATTTATGCTCTAAACTTATCCTGCAGCACTGAAGAGCACATTCGACTTCATACAGAGAGTGATTTTGTCCCTTGGCCATAAGTCACTCAAACCTAAAATCCAATCACTGAAAAATCGCCTGATGCAGTAATAGATCATAGCCATGATGCTTTGAGTGAATAGAGCTGTCTATTATAGGGAAAACGTGGAGGTGTTTGGTCGCTTCTCTGTTTGGATCCTAACGAATGAACTGGGCTAAGCGCTATCAAAGTGTCTCGCGCGCCAGAGCGATTGAGTGCACGCACTGAGACGAGAGAGGTATGTATCAACTCGTCTTAGTTAAGGGAATAACATAGTTTAATATGGAAAAACGGTGGAGTGTTCCTTTAAGAGAACTCTAAAGAAAATTGTTCAGTACTGTTTTACAGATACTTATCCATATTTAACAGGATGTTTTGAATTTCAAGTTTACTTGTTTGGTTTTGGAATAGAGTTTTATAAGAAGAGAATTTTAAAGAGAACTGTAGTAGGAAAGGCATTCTGTACCAAACTCTGTGACTTACACGCTCTGCTTTCAACCACTTTGTAAAGATGTTAAAAACAAAGAAACATTGATGTTTTTATTGTCTTTAGTTTTTAGTTTTTTCTTGAGTGCATTATGTGCTTCATTTCTAAAATGTTGTTGGCGGGCCAGTAATGTTTTAACATTATTATTGTTGAACAAATAAACATTCTAGTGTTTTGCCAAATGTGTTGTCTGTCTTTGTATTCTAAACTTAGAATTTTGAGTACAACTTGCTTGAGAAATTTAAGGCAATCAGTTTCCACACATTCCTCTAGTAAAATGAACAAGCAGACATGTTAAATTAACTGTTTTGTTTAAGTTCTGCTTACAAATCTCAACTTAAATCTGTAAGTTGCCTAAACTTGAGTTTATTAATTTACCTTTACTCAAGTTTTATGGTGACCTCTACAAATACACAAGTTAACTCTACAAAGAAGTAGAGTAGTATCAAGTCAAAAATTATGACCTAATTTGCTTGAAAATTTTGAGGCAATCAGTTTCCACAGCTTTTCGTAGTAAAGTCAACTTATAGGGAATGCGGAGTTACGTCACGCCGTGTTGCATTATGGGACGTGGGCGCCATCTTTACAGGCACGGTCTCTCTGTTTACCTTTTCGCCGGCCGTTCCTATGGCATTTAAAAGTGGGTGTGTTTGGGTGAGACAACGTAAAATTGAAGAAGAACGGAATAAATGGAGAAGTTGAAACAAAAAGAGAAGGGACCCTACCGGGAAAAATTGAATGCCGCTGCTAAAAAACGTTATTTGGACAAACTTTCCGCCATAAACAACGTCGATCCATATGATTTGGCAGCCCAAGACTGGATTACGGATCCAGACGCACTACCTCCTCTCACATATCCGGACATCGTCAATTACCTTGTTTTTGGATTGAGTGCGTATACTTTGCAGGAGTTTAAGAGCTATAAATCCATTGAAGCTCATGCACAGTTTTGCACCGGCTGGGTACAAGACCTCCTCATTCACAGGCCGGTTAACTGCGAGAGCACAGTCATACTTGCAAAGGTAAGACGGTACTTATGTTCTTTGCCAAGTTATTAAAACAAACAAAAGTGCTAAATATTCAGCTACAGTTATGTTATTTGAAAGAGTCATAAGCAGTGGGTTTGAGCAGTTGCATTTTCAATCAAAAAGATGAGTTATAATCATCAACATTGTAGAAAAATTCATTTTATTTTCTCGTTTTATTTTGCTTGTGGTGGGCAGATTTATTTTTGATTAGATTTTAATCAAATTTTAATAATTCAAATGAAAAATTGAATACATAATTTACAATCAATAATTTACAGTACATTATTTTTTCATTGAAGAACATAATTTACATTTACAAGTTAGTTAGACAGTGTTAGTATAAAAACAAGATAATTAAGGTGTTTCTGCTTTTAGTAATCACAAATTAATTTGTTACATGATCATTGTCATTGATTGTCATTGATTAACATTTCTGTCTTTATGTACAACAGGTGATGCACTCTCAGCGCCTTAATGAGGTTCCTCTGAAGGCTTGGGTTATTATTAACACCAATGGTGAAGTATCCTCAGCCCATTGTACTTGTATGGCTGGTGTTGCAGAGACATGCACCCATGTTGGGGCCTTGCTTTTTAAAATTGAAGCAACTGTCCGGTGCAGAGAAATCAGGACTGTCACAGACAAGTCTGCATACTGGATATTACCTAGTAATGTGAACAAAGTTCACGCTGAGGTAGGCCATAAGATTAATTACACTTCATCTGCTGCTATGCGAAAATCAATTAACTCTCTGTTGGATGGTGAGAGTGACAAGCAGCATGGATTGAGGACTTGTACCAAGACGATCCCTACACCATCACCTACACATTCAGAGCTAAGACACTTTTACAGTGATCTTCATAAAACAGGTGGCAAGTCTGCTATACTGAGTGTGCTTCCAAATTACTATGAGGAATTCAGAGATCCTGTGCAGCCTGTCACACAGTTGAAATCCCTTCACTGCCTATATGACCCCAGGCTTGATGGATGCGATTTATCAGTATTGGAACAGCACTGCCAGGCACTACAAAAAAACGCTGATGTTTCAGAGGCACAGGCTGTAGTGATTGAAAAGAGGACTAGGAAACAGCAGAAATCTTCATTGTGGTTTTCTGCTCGAGCAGGCAGGGTCACCGCCTCAAATATGCATGCTGTTTATGCTACTGATATCAAAGCACCAGCTCTGTCAACTGTTAAAAAGGTTTGTTATCCTAAGGACAGCAAATGTAGCACAGCTGATGTCAATTGGGGCATTACACATGAGGAGCAGGCATTGAGAACATATGTCGAAAAAAACAAGAGAAAACACAATGGCCACGAAGTTGCAACATGTGGGTTGTTTATAAACTCAGATTTCCCCCAAGTGGGAGCATCACCAGATGGCACAGCGAGGTGTACTTGCTGTGGGAAAGGTTGTGTTGAAGTTAAGTGCCCTTCCAAGTACAGGAACAACTCTATTCAAGAAGCATGTTTGGCCAAAGACAGCAACTTCTGCCTTGAGGTTGTTGATGGAGATGTAAAATTGAAACGCAGTCACCCTTATTACACACAGGTCCAAACACAAATATTTGTGACAGACAGTAATTACTGTGATTTTGTTGTTTGGACACTCAAAGACTGTGTTGTTCTGCGCATAGAACCAAACCCTGACTTTTGGAAGGCACGCCTAAAGAAGGCACAACAATTTTTCGTGGCGGTATCCCTCCCAGAGCTCATTGGAAAACATTTCACTCAAGCCTCCCAAAAAACAATGAGCCACAAAACTTTGCCTCTAACAACGATACAAAAAACCAATACAAGGAAAGGCAGAGGTAAAGAGAACTGTTCAAAGAAACAGAAAACACTTTGGTGTCTGTGTCACGGACCAGAGGAAAAAGGTGATATGGTGGCATGTGATAATGAAAACTGTAGGGTCCAGTGGTTTCATCTTGAATGTGTTGGACTTGAGGATGGACCTGCAACAGACGATGTCTGGTTTTGTCCCTCTTGTTCCAAGTAAATGTACAATTAAGTCTGACAAGAGCTGTGACTTTAGTTATTTGTGTATACTTACCGATTTTAAAGGCATCTAAATATTGTTTTTCACTTAAGTTCTAACCTATTTAATATTTATTTGTGCCTTTATTTATTCAGATTATTTTCTGTTTTTTTTTTTTTTTTTTTTTTTAAATAAAATATTAAAAATAAAAAATACAAATATTGTAGAGCTTCTGTGTGTTATTTGTTGATTACATAGTTATTTACCATTGTACATAATGTCCTTTTTGACCTGAGAAGCAGCTCAAACTTAATGTTAGCTATTTTCAGCATAATGTTAACTTTTCATAGGTTGTGCAAGAAAATAATTGTTGTTGTACATTATTTTATAATGCCACAAGATGGGGTACCTTGTTAAATAAAACTGTGCCCTGTCATCAGTTAATGTTGACACATGAAAAAATGAGGGTAATTGATTGTTAAATTTAAAATAGTTTTATGTATCTTTGCCCATTCCAGTTTACTTAAAGAGTCTTTATGGATGCATTCAGTACACAAACAGATAAAAGTCACACTGTCTTTATTAAGCAGTTATATAAACTTGATTCACAAACATTTTTAAAAGGCATGTAAAAAGATATACAGAAAATGAGCCACAAATAATAACAAAAGTAGATTTAGCAATCACTGCACAACACTTGGACACATGTTTGTAAGAGCACAACAGACAGTGACAACTTTGTCCAAGAAAACCACAGTCTCACCCTCACATGGCAGAGCCATATTTATGGGAATTTTAGAAGACAACATTTTGTACTTGTTGCGTACTTGTCCAATAACTCTCTCCACGTGGATTCTGAGATGTGCAATGGATCTTGTTTCCTCCACATCCTTTGCATCCAGTTGTTGACGGCCCTTTGTGAACGCTGGTATTTTGACTTCAGCACACATCAGTCCCACACTCTCCTTTATGTCAAAACCTCGATCTGCCAGTACCATGTCACCTGGAAGTAGTTTGTCTAGGAAACCACTTTCCTCTGTTATTCGTTTGTCACTTGTCCGCCCACCCCACCCTTTGGAGATGAATGAAATTACTCCCTGTGGAGTAATGCCGATGAGGTATTTCAGTGTATGTCTGTGTTTATAATTTGAAAATGTTTGTGCTCTTGCCTGTAGATTGGATGGTCTTTCTATAAAAATTTCAAAGCAGTCCACAATGGCAGCAACACGATTTCCAAATGTCTCTGCAAACTGGTGTGGCATACTGATGCGCAAACTCTCTCTGTCAGGCCAATGCACCAGTGGAGATAAGCGTGAGTAAAGTACATTTAATGTGTCTTGAAATGCAGCACTAACAGTCGCTCGGTGCACGCCAAATATATGGCTGATGTGCTGCATTGGCAGATCCAATCTCAGACGCATCAATGTGAGAAGGATCATTTGAAAAGGTGTCAACTTTCTTTTTCCCTGATGCAGAAATGGCATTATATGGCACAGCAAAACCTGAAAAATAGCATATGTTGGAAGTCCAGTGTAATATTTTACCTTGCCATCATCATCCTTCAAAAATTGCTCTGTCATTTTGCGCTCATCAAGTTCTCGCTTCAGATTCCTGTTTTCCTCGAGCAGACGGTTGATTTCAGCGTGTGTAGATTTGCAGTGCACACATTTCTCTGCACTCTGGTTATCAGGATTTTGTGCTGTGTCCTCTGCATCTTGCAGATTCTGCATCTTGCATCTTGCAGATTTTGTGCTGTGTCCTCCTCCACATCTTCCTCTGTGTCTTGTGCTACCTCCTCCACATCTTCCTCTGTAACGTTACCTTGTGCTACCTCCTCCACTTCAGGTGGAACCGTGTCCTCCCCTTCCTCTCCTGGCTTCTCGCTAGTCCCCTGATGTTTGAGGTGTCTTCTTACTTGACGTGCAAACCTCTCTTTGTTTGTCACTTTCACTTCATTATGGCCCAGAAGCAAAGATGGTGCCCAGTCAGGATGAGTGTCCAGCATTTCAAATGCTGGTTGTCCTGTAAATACAGAAATGTTGTAAGTTTTTAGACAATTATGGACATCTTCATATACTTTCAACACACACACACACATATATATATATATATATATATATATATATATATATATATATATATGAAGAGTTCAGATGCAAAAGCCTCTAAATGCCATCTGAAATTTTCTTATAGAATGATCATTTTTATCAAGCTTGTATATTTAAATTCAATAATTTCACTTAAATGGCAATGAAGATTACCTATTAATTGTCATTTAAGTGAAATTACTGAACTTAAATATACAAGCTTCTTAAAAATTATCATTCTATAAGAAAATTTCAGATGGCATTTAGAGGCTTTTGCATCTGAACTCTTCATATATATATATATATATATTTATATACATACAGTACACACACACACACACACACATAATGATGTTAGTTAGTAGACAACACTGGACCAGAAGATAAACAAAAGCTAACTCATTAATCTAAAGTGATCTTCATAAAACTATTGACAGTGTGTGACTTCTTCAAATATAATTTTTTAATCAAATTCTTAAGACATTGTGACTGGAGTTGCAAATGGAACATTGTCTGTTGCTAGCCATAAATAATGCGTTCCTCTGGAATCCAACACACACCGACGTTTAAGTCTATGAGAGCAAAATGAAAATACTGTATTTAGGTCAAAGTTATAGCCAGAGAACTCGCCCGAAGAAAAATGCCGAGAACACACTCTCGTTGATGCAGGGATGTTGTGAAAAGTGTAGTTTTTCCTCCTGAGTGCGGCAACCCACGCGATCCGGCGTCTTCTCGTTAGCTCCTCGACCTGCTTCCCTTGTTGTTTCTTCCAAGAAGGAACGCTGAAAAAACGTACCCCGTTGACCAGTTTTCTCCCTGAACGGTCGTGTGACCTGCTATGGCAATCCCTTATCGAGCAGAACTGACCAACCATATCTAAAATAGTGATAGAAAATCCAAAAGCAGCCTCCAACACATGAATTTCACTACAGCGGAATGAACGGAATAGGGCGCGATCCTGTAAATATGGCCGCGGACCCATAATGCAACACGGCGTGACGTCATCTCCGCATTCTCTATTACTTTTTACAGTGTAGGTAATAATAGACTGCAAAAAATAATACGCAGGTTTAAAATCTTCATGTCTCTACACCAGACGTAGTCTCAGCCTCAGACGTCACGCCCACGGAACGTTGGCTAAACGTCTGATGCATATGGTACACTTAACTGGAAACACTTCAGGAATGTCGAAGTCGTCATCTGATTGGTTGAATTTTATCGGATTTCCGGGGGGGCGCGAGTGTCGCGTTTATTTTCGGTCCGCAGGGAAACAAAGCGCAGACGTGTGATTGCAGAAGAAAAACTGTTGTGTTTACATGAGTGACAATGAGCATCTATAAAGATCAGCTAAACGTAGGATTCTCAAAAGTATGCGAGGTTCACGGCATAGACTCTTGAAGTTTTCTTCTCCTTCTTTGATTTTCTATGCTGACTGACTTGTTGCACGCCGGTCTGTTGTTGTGGGGACATTTCCACGCCCCGAAACGTGACGCTGAACGAAACGAACTGTAATTGGTTGTTTGACATGTCGGTCAAACGGCCTTATGGGCGGGCCTTGGCCAAAGAAAGCTGCTATGAATTCCAGACCTTCAGCCGTCAGTCTGAAGGTCTGGCTACGCGAGACTACACCAGACGTGACAGCTTCAGCCTGTCTATGTTACACTGAACATGACAAAGCGAAGCGACCGTTGCATATTGTTCTTATGTCAGAAGTAGCATGAGCGCTTAAAGTATGTCAGAAATAGAATGGGGCATCAGTCTTCTGTCGGGAATTTGTCGTGTCGCATTTAGTGTAGACAGCATCTGTAAAGATTCTTTAAAGAGATATAAAAAGAAGACTGGACAGAGTATGGGTGGAAGAACAGAGTTTTTTGTTATAGATGAAAGCAACTTCCGCCATAAAAGGAAGGTGGGATATATTTTATTATTATTAATAATTTTATGTTTAACAGTTCAAGGGAAATTTCACAGATGATGGCAACATTGAAACAAAAAAAAAGTAAAATATAGCTTTTAAACAAACTTCTATTTGAATGTGCGTAATAAATAAAAAATATCAAAATACTTAGGCCTATGCACTGTAAAATATGTCCATGTTAAATTACAGTAAACTACTGGCAGCTACATTTACCAGCAGAAAACTAATTCTACAGTGTACTGTAATCACAGTTTATTACTGTAAAAAGCATTACACTACTGTGCTGTATAAAATATAGTATAAGCTTTACATACAATTATACTGTTATTTTACTGTTCCTATGGTGATCTCCATTAACTGTTAAATACTGTAAAATTCATTGAAGTACTGTTGAATATGATCTTTACAATATAAATATAGCTAGAAGCTAATTTTTTTTTTTTTACATTCTATTATTAAACCCTCTGAAAAGTGATTGCATTGAAATGTCTCAGTCAAGAATGACATAACATTTTTAATTATTTTTATTAAATTCAATACAGTATCTCACACATTCAGTAATTGACTAATTAAAACGTAAATAAATAGTACACCCAATAATAAAAATGTCCAGATCGGAATGACTTTCTTTCTTCTGTTGAACTCAGAATATTTTCAAAAGAATTGATATCTTACTTCAGAAGATTTTTAATATGTATTTGTATGTTTTTGAAGCTGAAGTGTCTGCAGCCATACACTTCCATTGTATGGACGTGTAGAGCTAATATATTCTTCTAAAAAGCTTAATTTGTGTTGAGCAGAAAAAAAGTAATACACATCTGGGATGCATGAGTGTGAGTCAAGTCAGGTCAAGTCAAGTCATCCTCATTTATATAGCGCTTTTAACAATGTAGATTGTTTCAAAGCAGCTTTACAGAGATAAACATATAATTTAAGGTAACAGAGATTGGTTTGGTTTTATAGCGGTTCTTGAATAATGTTCTTTTCCAGCTAAAGTTAGTTTTGATTGATTCACTTCCATCGAAATGATCATTTGTTATTAAATTAGGGGCCGCTAAGATGACACCGTTCTCTCTAAATAGACTTTAAACTCGAACCGGTGATAAACGCTGATGGCGTTCACATGCGCATTAAGAATTGATTCTATAGTTATGTGCTTTTGAATATATGTGCGCAGGTTTGTAATTCCCTACAAACCATGCCTAAACAAACTACTTGTCTTGCCTACAAATTTTGATACAGAATTATATTTTATTTGATCACTTCAGGGTTGGTACGCGAACCGAAATTTCCACAACGCTTTATCTGTTGAGTGGTATAGGGATCCTCCATAGGGAGAGGCTAGTTGGCACTTCAGCACTGCGTGAGTAAATAATAGTATTGTCATTTTAGGCTTCGAGTTTAAAGTCTATTTAGAGAGAACGGTGTCATCTTAGCGGCCCCTAATTTAATAACAAATGATCATTTCGATGGAAGTGAATCAATCAAAACTAACTTTAGCTGGAAAAGAACATTATTCAAGAACCGCTATAAAACCAAACCAATCTCTGTTACCTTAAATTATATGTTTATCTCTGTAAAGCTGCTTTGAAACAATCTACATTGTTAAAAGCGCTATATAAATGAGGATGTCTTGACTTGACCTGACTTGACTCACACTCATGCATCCCAGATGTGTATTACTTTTTTTCTGCTCAACACAAATTAAGCTTTTTAGAAGAATATATTAGCTCTACACGTCCATACAATGGAAGTGAATGGCTGCAGACACTTCAGCTTCAAAAACATACAAATACATATTAAAAATCTTCTGAAGTAAGATATCAATTCTTTTGAAAATATTCTGAGTTCAACAGAAGAAAGAAAGTCATTCCGATCTACATAAGTTTCACTTTCTTTTTTTGCCGTAAGTTTAAGTACCAGTTTGTGATGAATCTGTTAACGATTACTAATGCCTCGTTCAGTCTGTGTACGGAGCGTGTGGCTTACGTTCGTCCATTACAACATTGGACTTGACTGAAGCTACATCGTGTCCGTGTTTTACTTTCTATTTCCCTTTTTACAGGTAAGAACGAGGGTTGTAGTATGTTTGAACGATTTATATATGTTTAATACCGTAAGGAACATGCGGGGAGTAAATGTCAATGATTGTAGTAGTTGATATATGCGCATTTTAGCAGGCGAACCGTGAAGTGTTGCTCCAGTGTAGCCTGTGCTAGCTGTGTCATGTGGGCCGATGTTAAAGCGTGGTGGTAATGTAATACCGCCGCCGCCGCCGTTTTCTCTGTATATTCGTTTTATATCATAGGTATAAGGTAAAAGTGCTATTGTTTAAGTTTAAGAAAAAATGAGTGTTTAATGTGAAGAGGCAAAATAGTTTATATGTTTAAGTGCAACACTACTACTGAGGGTAAAATGTTTAGTGTATTCTGAATTAATAATAACTATAAAACAGCAGTAGTTAACATCAATCCGTTTCAGTAAATGTACTGTTTTAAAGTTATTTGCCAATGCTGTAAACCTATTTTGATATATTGTTGGTAACTCACTTTAAAGGTTAACTCAGGTATTTTAGTAATATGGAGTTATAACTGACAAGCTGATATTTTTCCTAATTGTGTAGTTTCTTGGAGGGACATTATTATGTCGTGCAAAGGGAAAATAACGTGTTTAAGTGTAATACTGTGTAAACATGTTATAATACTGTTTATGGTGAATACATTACAACATTGGACTTGACTGAAGCTACATCGTGTCCGTGTTTTACTTTCTATTTCCCTTTTTACAGAGGCGTAACATTTGGAGGCCCCGCTGGGATAGTGTGCAGCGTGGTTCAGCGTCTACAACAGATGTCCCCAGCCGTCACACATCCCTTTTAAACAACCCAGAACAGCAGAAGCAGGTGGCGAATCAGCGATAGTGGGATTCCGATTGTCTTGGGCAGCTTGCATGTGATCTGAGGTATTTCTGCATACCAGGAGAGCTTCTACTACTACCCAGAAATTGAAAGGTACCACTTCACTGCTAGCACACACTCAGCTGGAAAGATGGAGTCGACAGAGGTAGAGGAGTTACAGCTTGAAGTAATAAGGGCGTTGTGTCTGTTGACCCGAGAAAGTTTGGTGGAGCTGTGTGACTATCTAATCATTGCCGGAGCAGAGTTTGAACATGTTACCAACAAGGGCCGAACTGCTCTCATCACACTAATTTCAAACTACATACAGAGAGATAAAGGTTTTGCTGACTTACTCCATCTTCAAGACAAAATTTCTGAGCTCCAGATAGCTGGTAAAGCTGGCACATCAAAACAAGTAGGCGAGCAACAGGACAGGGAGGAGAAAAGGATATTGGAGGGAATTGAGGCCTTGCAGCTTCAGTTAGCAAGCGCACAGAAACAGAATGAGAACAATAAGCCAGACACAAAAGGAATTAAAAACATCACCCCCACCAGGCAGTCACCACAGAGTGTAGTCCACAGTCATGCACCTCACCCATGGCACAAGGACTTCAAGATAGCTGGCCAAATCGGTGAGCCCGGTCAGAAAGACAAGCTGACTTTTTCAAGCTTAGCACGTCAAATTGAACATGGCTTAAGCAAGGGGTTTCCCGAATTGAGATAGTGGATGCAGTGATAAGAGCGATATCCCCAGGCATGCAACTCCGCAGCTATTTAGAGGGAAAAACCAACCTGACCTTACCCACACTGAGGCGAATACTCCGATGTCATTATCAAGAGTAAAGTGCAACCGAGCTTTATAAGCAGTTGACCTCAGAGGTGCAGGGCATCAAAGAAACCCCACAGAACTTCCTTATTCGCACTTTCGACCTGAGACAAAAGATTTTGCTTGCTTCG